ACGAATCCAATCGGCGAACCAATGACGTGAGGCCGGAAACATTCTAACGTTAAGCCGATGTAACGTTGCTATGTAACGTAACTTGTCTATGTATGGTAATTGCAATGATAATTGTCGTAAAAAGGTACAAAAATGTAAAACGACCGGCCTTTTTCAATTCATTCGATTCTACTTATGCGCGCGAATATATTCCTTTCTCTATATTTCTATACTTGGAAGTTTTATTCTCCGATCCCCAAGGTATTATATCATATTGTTAGGTCACATTATTAACAATTGAAACACGTAATTTCTAAGCGATGATCTCTTTGCTGACGTAGTTCAATGATTTCGATCGACGGAGCAATATTGCAAATCCATTGAAGAGCCATTGAAAAGCGTTGGGCGTTTTACGCGAGCTAAAGATAAAAATTGACTGATGATAATACGGTGTCCGTACAAAAGCGTTGTTGCTTATCGCATTAATCATCACGTTATCGATCTTGACAAATTTTTTCGAGATATTCGGGGCTCTTCCTTTCCTGAATTTTAATCAGTTTTGATTTTGATTTGGTTTCTAGAACGGTTTAAAAATACATTCTTTTATACATACATACATACATATGTATGCATACACACACACACACACACGCGCGCGCGCGCGCGCGCGTAAGAAACTTTTTCTTTTTATATCTATATACTTCACATATAAATTTTATTTATCAATTAGGCGCCGGTAATCAGTGTTAACACTTTACATTCGACATAGGCATGAGTCGACTTTCGATGAAAGTCATATCTTTTTAATTCACTCGTTTACAACATAGCTTTCTCTATTCCATTTCCGCGAAAAAGTTTCAAACGTATAAAGTACACCTTCGAAAAATTTCCTCCTCTCTTTTGTGGACTGTAAAATAAAGAACAAACGACGGTGATCAACGGTGATTAATTGATAACCGTGCTGACCAGATGTGGTTTCTCTTCTCTTCTCGCGAGTCAGTCTAGTTTCGTCTTAGTTCCGAAGACGGAGATGAAAGGAAGAATAGAAAAGAGAAGGAAAATATAAAGAAGAATATTATCCTCCAATAATCGCACGCTATAAACCTGTCGTCCCGCGAAATAGTGCGTAAGCACATCTCTCGTAAAAACCTATACAGGGAATTATGCCCCGTTACATCGTTCGGTAAAGAATCTTGCGCGTCTTTGCGCAAGACGCGCTTCGCATCACCTACTTTATTACTGGACTCGATTTTAGACTCGATTCTCCTTTGAGAAATATTTATATAAAGAGAGACTAATGTACCAAATTTCATACACAAGATTATTATTTAAAAATTTACGCTAAACAGAAAGAAAACAAAGTCAAACAACACGCGACAAAGATTAAATCAAACTTGGAATTTGAATCAAATAAAAAAGAAAGATTGTAATCAGACTTCGAAAGATTGCAACGACAATAGTTAGTCATCCTATCGATAATGATATAGATATAGATCAATATAGATAACGTTAACAAGTTTTCGTTGTTCAAACGCACACGTATAGCACACGTACGTAAAGTCGTTTTCCGTGTCGTTTTCTCTGACAACAGCAAAGAAATCACACACAAGCGAATCATTATGCGTTCTACGTGGTGATACCATGTTCGATCTTCGATTATAGTGATAATTCGTGCAACTTTGTCAAATACCAGTTGGCGTCGCGAAATGAGCTATCTCGCGATAAAAACTAAACCTTTTGCAATGTATATATAATAACATACTTTGTCATAAAACATAAACGAAAACAGATATGATTATTTTCGACATATCGATTCTTTTGTGGACTTTCAGAAGACGAACACTTTTCATCGTTTGGTAATCGATACAACGATATCGTATAGCGGTACTGTAGTCGGTCCGTTGTCGGGACTAACCGGAAGCGAACAGTCCACCGGAACCGGCGTTTCTTTCACCGCGTCATCCGCTTGAGATGCTATGACAAACGCAAAAAGTACACGAGTGCCACTTTAAGTATACAGCATATGATAAGAGTATGATTAGGAATTATTATTCACTAAGGGCCATTATACATATAGATAATAAAAAGAAATGTTGACATGTCACAATGCGAATCGATTCGTGACTTTGCTTTATCAAAGTTTTTCCGAAATATCTTGTGCACAATCTCACGCTTCTAATCTATACTTTTGTAGTTTGAATTCAATCATGTGTCAATAGATACGTCGTTATCGATTTACAAATCTGGATAATGAGTCTTGAGATGCACAAATCTATTAATTTGCAAATTTACAGAGTCATCAAATTTACAATATACATTCTTACCACATTTTTGTATCACTGCAGATTACGCAAAAATGTTTCTAATCGAAACATTTAGCATTTTTTATTAATAACAAAGTTAAAATTAAACATGTAATTGCGTACTGTTTACAGCGCTGATTCCTATTAGCTTTATTATTGTCTAAGTTTTTCGAGTTTTCTTCTTAGTAATCTATCTAATTTCCAATTAAATCATTTTAAAAAGGACAAGGCCACAAGATCAATCATGATCGATCTTAATTTGAATTTTAATAAGATAGTATAAGATAGTTTCTCTCTAATTCAAACCACCGTCTCTGTAGAGATCTAGTATAAATCTTAAACAACGGTGAAGCAATCGTTCTCAAAAGAT